CTGTAAACCAGGAATATTGGTCTATGCTAAACTGAAAAAATACACTGTAACTGTGATATAATTAGCTAATTATGTCTTAATGAAATGTCATTTTTAATGAGTAACACACATTTAACTAGAGGAAGACAATCGTGACAGTTAACAAAACTGAACTAAACAAAAATCCTGTGCAAACAAGAGCAACTGTTACAATGGTTTTGATCAAAGTAGATGAGATCACCTGTCTAATTTCATATGATTCTCTCAGTTTTCATGTTGTGTGTTGGTGCATGATGTTGAAAAGCGGAGTTTCCCCTGTCAGGGTTTAATGTTTATGGTTTTATAAACCGAGAATACCATGTGTAAACGTGATCTGTAGTTAGGAGGGAATAGGAGAATCTCTGGCAGTGTGCCAAAACAAAGCTCTTATTCTCATACACAGCAGGCAAAGATGTGTTTCAAAAAGCGTTTCCAAATTGCAAACGTGTATTGTTGATTGTTTAAACGTAGATCTTTCAAATGGTGTCAAGTGGTTTGATTTCTAGAATAGTAAACTGGAACAACACAGAAAGCCCCACTACAAAAACTGCCAGTGTTCACACAGGAGGGACAATCATTAACACAGAGCAATGTCCACAAAAAGACAAGAAGGAGGAAAGGGAGGGTGGGGCAACAATAAATACTCCTGTGAGTCCTCCCCAGGTTCCTACAAACACCACGGTGAATTTGTGGTTTGAAGACCACAAATCATAGCAAATAAGTTTCATGGTTAAGAAATGCAGAACCAAATGACTGAAACGATAAATATTTAAAATCAAATAGGCACACACATGTGCCTCTGATCACACACACACACACACACACACACATGCCCAAGCTGAGTTCGTGGACCCCTGACTGGTCCCCACCCATCTGCCTGACCCCATTAGGACTCTTAGGCAGACAGGGGATGGACGGGGGTTCATTATTCTCTCAACCACATGGGGTGACACACATCACCTTTGTCTCACAGATACAAGTTCATGTGGCACGTACACAGCAGTGTCACATGTCATTTCTGGATCTGCTAGTCAGTGAATTAGAAGGTCTTACCAGTTTATAGGTTAGTTTCCAAATGCAATGATTCCAAAGGGAAAAGGCTGATGCAAATAGAAACAAAAAAAATCCAAGAAAGAATAAAAGTAAGTAGAAATATCTCTCTTTCACATTAACGGTTGACTGTGGCCTTTGATCAGCAGTAGCGACAGCGCGCAAGTCTTTCGGACAGATGTTAAACATTTACCAAAATTTAGACTACAGTAAGGAAACAAGTCTCTGACGTCAGGATGAGCTCCAACTGTGGGGTTTGTGTTTTATTTCCGCATTGAAGGAATGGTCCGCATGGACAGAAAGAGAAGCGAACATTGACACAAAAACTACAGGAAACAACTTGCGTCGCCTCCAGTTGCTTAGGAACCCCCTGCCATGCCCTGCCCTGTGCCTACTACTGCATGGAGCAGGTGTCGAGCTGGACCCAGGAGAGGGA